CCTTGTTGAAGAGAATTTCATATAATGAATAAAAGTCTGATCTCCTCTAACAGTAAACTAAAAATTGATCATCACACGGTCTGTCAGCACTTCAACACTGGTAAAGTAAATCAGCATTGCAATCGTTTAATAACAGTAAAATCAACCTTCCTATTCAAGTTAATTTTACACTTACATATCTGGACCTCTAGGAAAAGTTCTTTATTGTCTGTTTCATGTTCATTGTTTTTGCTTGGACCATTTTTTGATTTAGTCATTTTTTCTAACATTGAATGCAACATTACAGTCAACTGTATTGACACTTTAGTTGTTCTAACAAAAACGCATCTGATTCAATACATGAAGGCCTTGTTATATTACAAGTTCCTGATTTGCAAATGTTTGCTTGTATGAAGTTTTCTACCAGAAATGGCAACCCGGGTTTGAGTTGCCAACTCGAGTCACTCCTGTGTCACAAAAAACTGAAGATTTCAGACATGACTTAGTCTTGAAACTAAGTCATGTCTTCTGATGTGAGAGTCAAGTCTTTTAACAGTTTTTACCTTGTTTGATGATGCATGAAAGGAGGCTGATATGTGAGTTCAGTTGAAGACTGAGAGTGAATGTGCTGCTTTCGCCTGCTCTGCTCTGCCCTCTCAACTGGTGTCTACTTTCAAACGTTAGCATACCTCATTAGCAACGCTGGTCCAACAAATCCTTGTGAAGCTAGTTATAGGGAAAAGAAAAACTGTTTTATCAAAGGCACATAATCAAAAAAAGTTTTTATATCTTATTTTGTTTGTAGTGGTTATGGTGAACAGCTCCTTAATTTTGACAAGGACCAAATGAAATGATTTATCAACTTGGGTCAAGGCTAAATAAAGATATATCAGCAGTGTAAAGGAAGCTGGAATGAGTTAATTAAGACCTGGACACATCCCACAAAGTACCAAATATATGGGGATCTAAATAAAATTATATCCCCAAAGAGAAACTAGAATGTTTTTTAGGGAGGTTCCAGATTGAGAGAGAAATCTACAGATTTTGGATCTGAACCAAACACAACATCAGGTAACTCTAGTATTGTGCAGGTTGATGGTCAGCTGATACCTTTTTGACCAGCAGAAATGCTACAGTGTAAGTTAATTTAGGATTTGTTATGTAGGGGAGATCTGCCCTTTAGCATGGGTGGTGTGAATTTACAGTATGAAGATCTGATTGACAAGCAGTAACTGGCAAAATATTATTCAAAGTTTTGAATGTTTTTTTCACGTCAAAGCAAGAGATGAGTAGAAGAAAGGTGGAAATATATTTTTGGCAATACACAATATATTTGACATTTACTCATTCAAGTGAAAACAAATTGTGAATTTGTATTTTTAAAAATGACTGCACTAGTATGCAATGCTTTGTTGAATCCCCTTTTGATCTCATTTCATTATTCTTTGACATCCATTACGTCGAATCTGGTGAACCTAAAACCAGGCCTTTCCAAACTCTCACAAAACCAGCTTTTAAAATGCAAAAATGTGGTTAATCACAGGCAATTTGTTGTGTATTAGTGTTTGGTGATTCAAAAAGGTGATTTCAATAGATAGAAATTTAGAAAATTGCATGTTGTTATTCTTGTCAACAATTAAAAATGTGCTTGATGATCGGACAAGGTTTGTCAAAAAGCCAAATTAGAAAACCGTCATAGAAGAAATCCTTTGATCTAATATACATAAATGAAAGCTTTATCTTGTTATATATAGAGTGTTCTTAAGTTACATTCCTACAAGCTCATAAAATAAGCTTTAATTTATCACAGTCATGACACATTTGGCAGGGTAGGTTCTCCTTTTTCACAAAGTTACTGCCATCAGTCTTAAAAAATATATACTGTACATGCTAATGTAGATCCACAGTCAATGCATGTTGCTGTGTAAAAAATGCACACATATGACAGTGGTTTTTCTCTCGCTCTAACTAAATCAAGACAGAAATTAGTAGGTTGTAGCTATTAGTAAAACATTTAATTGAAAAAACAAAAATATATTTTCTAAAACAAAATTTTAAATCGGAAAAGTGTTTGTTTTTTTTACCTGATTTTGAGCTGAGTTAATTCTGACATGATGCAATAGCCTACAACTTATTCTTAACTGCAAATGGACTTATTTATGATCTGTCACCAAGTACAGTAGATATTATATGTCACACTCTGGCCATCTGTAATTATTAGCACGCATTACAGCAGCAGCTTTATATTAAAAGTAACGAGAGAACCACATGACCCCAAGACAAAATGTTACTGCTTCTAAATTCCTTCATCTCTCGTCAGTTCAAATATCTTCTGCCATCAAGTGGCACCGGTGTCAAAGTGCAGCTGACCTGTCAGAATAATTTAGTTTATACTTAAATCATGCTATTTTTTTCTTTAATTTGAAAAAAGTCATTTCAAAATTCTTCATTTCCAAATTTTCCATTAGTTGTTACTTTTCAGACTAAAATCTACATTAATCAATGTGTCAAAAATAAAGGATTAGAAAAGCTGTTTTAAGTCATAAAACTGTGGAAAAGAAGAGTTCACAGGAACATATTTAGCTGCATATGCAAAGCTTTACACATTTACCATGAAATTTTCCCTTTTTATAATGTACATAATATTAAAATACAATAACATGATTATTATACAATGAAGTAGGATTGTTTAGATCCATCAAAGATGTAGGAATAGGTTACAGAGTATAAACAAGCTGTAGAAGTTACATTGTTTTAAAATACTTGTTACTCTGCAATATAAATGCTTCTGATTTTGCTATAAAAACTGATTTAAACAAAGCAATTAAACTCCCAGTGCGTCTCAGAGAAAAATGTTAACAAAAGCTTTAAAATACAATCCTTTGATGAACAGTTATGTACATGCTGCATACCACTAGTGAACTTGAACTCTCTGGATAGTGAGGAAAGGGGTTCTTGTGTGCATCTATTTAAAAGTCAGTCAGAGAACACCCTGGGATGGCTTATGTAACACATTTATTTACAAGCTGGTTCTGTCTCTCTCACTCTCACTCTCACATATTCTCTGCTGGTGTCACACAGCAACTGTTTTCCATGACAGGAATTTGGTTAATGTTGACCTGAAATAGAAAGACGGAGAGCAGAATGAATCTTATCAAGGCAGCTAAAATGTGCTAGAACAAGCTGTCATCAACCAGTGGTGACAAATAAACATTTGCCCCATGTAGGAAGCAGCAGGGGGAGCTGTGGAGATTATATTCAGTCTTCCAGGCGAGTTCTCGCCACACGTTCATTGTCACCCTAAAACAGTGGAGGAAATGCTTAGATTGTCCAGCCTTGACAAAGAATTGAGCATAATATGGTCAGACTTAAAAAAGACTTTTGCATTTGTATTAAAAATGAAATGACAAGAATATCCATCACTCATAGTTACTTTTCAAAGACAAAAGAATATGCTATCTAAAATGCCAATCTCCAATAAACAGTGATTAAAAAAGTTAAAACAACTGGAATGTGCCATCACATACAGGGCATGGATGATAATGTAGGTGGTAAAATTATGTAAAGCAAATTGCACCGCAGGAAAAACTTGCACCATAGGTGACCAAGTTTTTATAGCAACTAGTACAAGTTATCAAAAAGTATTTCCTGTCTCAGCATACAGAGTTTGTCAAATACTACTGGGACTTTAAGTAGAACAATGCACTTTAGTCAGAATTATTGAAAAATTCATCAGTGGATTTATGCAACATGGTTTCATTTCATCTTGGCATTGTTCGCAGATTGTCTTTTGTTGCTGCTGTTGAAGTTTTTCATGGTTTTGTTCATTCCAAACACTGCACCACAAATGCTACTTACTTTCAGAGTACGTACTTGTTAAGTCAAAACCTAAACACTGCAATGACACTCTGCTGCGTCTCAGTTACTGACACTTTCTATGTTTGCTCTTTGTGATTTTATCTTCCTTTCATCACATCAGTTAGTATTTCACGCCCTAAGTTTACCTTTAAGTAAGGAGATGAGGATCTTCTCAACATAGTTACATGAAACTGTTTTCAGCAACAACAAGGCACCGCGGCTGGGAGGGTCAATATGTCGGAATGGTGAATCCTCTGAAGGCAGAGATGACACTTGGGAAGGGATACCCTGGAAGGATTGGGGGGCCCGATGGAGACGGGGGCCCTGGAAGATACTAAAAATGAGAGATCTGTCACTAAGCTGCCACCACTGCTTGTAAAGTTTCTAATTTATTACAAATCATTTTCTTTTATTTGGAGATGCAAGTTAAGGCCACTTTCTTTTCAGAGTAATCAGAGCTACATAAAATCCAAGCAAATAATTATATTGCGCAAAATCAATTCAAATATCACCAATTGTTTTCGAAATCAAACTATGTGAAAAATCTGGGTGAGTTCCCAAGTAAGAGATCACTCTAAATGTAAAACACACACTCCTACATTTCAGCTTTCTCTTACCAAGCTACTGTATTTCTAAATGTGGACTCAAAACAGCAGCTAATTATGCAGTAGCACATGTTTGTTGCTTGTGACATGCTGTACAGTTGTAGCTCCACGTTAATGCCACCAGAGTAACACTAGATGAATGGAAAACTTGTGATCCAAACTATAAGCATTGTGTGTTGTCTTTGTCTTCCTGCTCAGTAACTCTATATGCAGTAAGAGTTGCTCAGCATCATCAGTCTCATTCCTGAACAATTTTCCTTTCCTGACAGACTCTCCTCTTACAGTGCAACCTTTTCCTAACCGTGGGGATTTCAGTGATTTAAACCTCTTGCTAAAACCAGTGGCAGACCAATCAGCAGCCACTTTCCAACTTCTGTGAATGGTCTCTGAAATGAAAAAATTTGAAGCATGATAAGCATTAAAACCTCATACACAATGGGTTCTGCATGTTGTAATATATTATAAGACTCTAAAATATTAAATGATAGTCCAATAATTTGTATTAATCAAGCTCATTGTGTCTCTTTCAGTGAAATACAAATGACCAAATACTTTAAATACAAAATGAGAGAATTAAACTTCAGTAGTGAAATATGTGCTTTTACTTTGTGGGTTTACAAAGGAAAAAAAATAGTTGTAAATCTGAAAGGACACTGGATGTGAACTTTTGAAACTTTACAAAAAGTATTACACCTTCTCCTGTCAATAAATTGAAAAAGCTTACACCTATAAAACTGTTTGCTTAAATTATTTCATTTCATCTTGGCATCTTGGCAAACAGGGAGTTAGTAAAAGCCTGTATGAAAAGGCTTTTGATAAACAAACCATGATTATTTCTTTTCCAGTTCACTTTCAGTTCGATTCAGTTTGTTCAAATAAGACCAATTCAAAACAGCTGCTAGCCTACTTTACAATGGAAAAAATCAGTTGAATCATACAGACACATTTGGAGTCAATTACATACTTTCCAAATTGGCAGTAGCTATTAAGCAAGGCAGTAAAGTTCAGTTTATCATACAAAGTAGTTCAAGCTTTCTAAATAAGAAATCCTGACAGATTTCATTTTGTCACTGTCTTGAATAATTCTGTCTTTAAAGAGAATGTTGCGGCCATAATTAGTCACTTGCATAGTGCCATTGACTTTGCACTATGCAATACTGAGCATGCACCTGCTGACAACGGAAAGAAAAACTCCCTTTGAAGAAACTAATCTGAATAACTGAATTCAATCAATAAGAGTGATTGGAATTCCATAATAATCTCTTGGGACGTTAAAAACTAGCGATTCATTCCTCACTTAAAACATGTATCTTCACAGGTACTCCCCAGTGTTCTCTTTTACGCTCACCTTAGTTGATAAGCAGGCACCAAGGATGCAAGTGTTCACCATGACAGCTGACAGACTGTCTGAACTGGAAACAGTGCGAGAGGCAGAGTATAGGTCAGGTTTTTTCCGGTGCTGACAGATGGGAGCCGGTATATAGGCGCCAGCGCTTTGTCAGCCAGCCAGGTTCAGATAGAGCTGTGCTGAGATATGGAAAATTATGAGCTCAGTCTGTGGATTCAAACACACCTTGTATATGAACTTGTTTGTCAGCTCTTCCTCTTTAACTCTTGGGAAAAGCACATGTGCTGTTAGTTCCATCTTCCACAATACTTTTCTGCTCCATAAACACCACTGGGGTGACACCGGGATGCCCTGCTTCCTTGTTTTCATCCAATGGCTTCTCATTCTCCACATTGCATTCATGCCTTTAATGCTTAAAATTAAAATATATTTTAAAATAGTACATGAAGGATTCACAATACACTATTAGAGTTTGAAATATGAAGCGGCAGATGCATCAATATTGTTTTGCAGTGCTGACGCATACAGTGACTTGAACCAGTAATGATGTAAGTATATTGGCATTCACTTTGGTTTCCGAATGCTTATGTGATTCATTGAGTTCCAAAATCTCACACAAAGACTTGGTTCATTTTGTCTTGCTTTCCACTGGGTCTTAAAAAAACTGTCAAATTTTAAGAATTTATTTTCCACAATGGTTTTTAATTAGTGACATCTTAAATCTTTAAAGAGAGGATGAGCTGCACAGTTAATGACTTAAGTGCTTGATAAATTGACTGAGTTGATTATATACACTATTTGGGATTCAAAAAGAATTTTTAAATTTGAATTAAACTGAACTGGACTGGAAGTGTCCTTATTTGAAGTAGAAAGCAGGGAAACCTACTTCACATACAAAAAAACAAAAACAATAAAAAAAACATCCAACAGAAAACTTTAAGCCAAACTGATAGAAATTTTGTTGCTTTTAATCTGGTGGTTTTGCACACCCCTTTCTAATATAGCCCTGGTGAACTACCCACATGGCCCATATCAAAAAGTGTAATTCGTTTAAGAGTTGGTACTTTATACTTTATACCAGCATGGATTTTATTTTGAGTTTATTTTTGTACAACTGGACATGAATTGGACCAGTTTTTCTTGAAAAGAGCCTTGACACAATGTTTCATATGAATTGCTGCTCTAAATAAAATTAACTAAATACAATTAAACAACACACTGACACAGCTGATGAAACTCTCCATTATCTCCCTGGGGATCGTCTGTTCTTTTTATATTGGCAGGACATTTTTATTTATTTGCTTTACTTCTTATATGGCGTCATGTTTCAGGCCCAGATTCCTGGGATTCTGACACCTGTCTGAAGGGCTTTTCAAGTAGCTCAAATGTCACATAGCTAGCCCACCTACCTAAGCCCCCCTATCAATCCCCAGCTGCACACCCGAGCTCAGAGCTCTTATCACTGGCCACTCAGCTTCTGACGTCCACAGAGGGCTGCTCTTTCATTGAGGGAAGAGCCACCTGCTATTCTTATAACTCAGCTTTGTCGTGCGGCATTTCAGGGATAGATTCATGACCTCCATCCACATCCCTTCTTTTGCCTCCACAATGGCTCTTCTTGCAATTTCCTTCATATGAAGCAAAACCAGTAGATTCAGGTAGCTGCGAGCACTTCAACACCAGTCATGAGCTCCACTCTGGTTAACTCTTTAGCCAAAGTGTATGATCCCAATCCTCTTCATGGTCAGAAGCTTTCTGCAAGGAAGTTTTCCCTGAATGGATCAGAGCGGTTCCAAGCTTCATCCTCCTCCTTTTCTCACCACGACGCAACTCTACGCTGCATGGAGAGCAGGATCGACTCCCTCAGCTCCCAGATGGAGCACCTGCTCATCATGCAGCAGACTGTCCTGACCCGGCTGGATGGCCTGTCCCAGGATGTGAGAGGCATGGGTCGGGATGAGGCGTCATCTCACGAAGGGAGACGTGGCTCGGGGATTGAGGCGGTTTGCAGGGAGCTGCGAGGGGCTGTGGAGCGTATAGAGAGTCAGGGGCGACGGCTGGAAGGGGTGGAGAAGCTGGTGGAGGGAACTCAGCAGGTGATCTGCTTCATTGGGGAGGTAGTAAAGAGCTCCAAGCTGGTGGAGCTTTTATTTAAACAGCCTGGAAGCAAAACCAGCAGGAAGGTGAGAAAACATTTCTAGGTACTGTGGAGGGAAACAATATGACACAAATACTTAAACTTAAAATATAGTTAAAATTGGATCTTGAATGCCTTTAATTTGTCTTTTTCTGGTCTTAACTCTTTATTATTTCAGCTATTCTGCTCCTGTATATGTTGTTCTCAGGAATGAAAAGTAGTTTTTCTTTGCGCAGGAAATCTTAGGTATAGCTTAGGTGTAGCTAAAAGGAGTCAAACTTATCACACTCACTCTTGTTCTTGGCAGTCACCACCAAACCTGTCTGGTCTCTTCTGACTGGGTGATAGTAATGCAGTGACAGATTGAATGAGTGTGGTGTGCTGGAACAGAATGTACCAGAATGTATGTTGTCCAGTAGGGGTGAAACAATAAGAACCCTACAGGATGTTAGCTAGGTTTATGTTCGTGTGTTGTTCAGGGTCTCCTTCTGGTACATCAAACTCATTTCTGGGCACAATGCAGCACATATGATGCTTCTGAAAGTTTACATTTTCTATTCCAGAAATACCATTGAGAAACCAGGTTGTGGTGGCATGCTTTCTGCTGCAGAATATGTGACCTTTCCTCTTAAACGGGGAGACATCCACTGAGCAGAATATGTACTTTGAGTTATGAGGCACAACAGCAACAAAACAAACACTCTGTCTTGACATCCTGCTGTTACGCAAACAGAAACATGCATCTTTACTACTTGAAGCTTGTCGACATTATAAATATTACCTTCCTTTCATTAACCTTTGTGCCTTACTCAGATGAAAGTGGCACATGTTTTACTGTATGATACTTCTCTTCCTTTTATCTTTAAATAAAGGCAAAAGATGACAAGGACAAAGCCAAGCAGAGTGTGAAGGGTGGGAAAGCCCAGAAGAAAAGGAAACCTCAGGATTCATCAGGTAAAGTTAAACTTGATGTTACTCCTGACCACAGAATTATTTAAGATTTATGCAAAAAAATCAGCCTTTCTAATTTAATCAGCCTTTCAGGTGATTGTATAATCACCTGAAATGTTTTTATTTGTCTGTGATATAAACTCAACATAACATAATAGCTTTTCGTTTTGGTCGTTCTTTCTACTTCAGATGCTTCCACTCTGAGTGAGTCAGCCCTGAAAGAGCAAGTTGAAAAGCTCAACAGGGAGAACACGGATCATTCCCTTATAAACACAGAAGCCAACTTCCAGAGTCAGGAAGATCCAGGAAGTGGGGGGAAAAGAAAAGAAGAGCCAACAAAGCTGATTCTCAGTCAATCACATGCTCCTCCAAGCCAAACTGCGGAGGAAAGAAAGAAAAGCAAGAATGAGGAAGATGAGGGGGATGTCTTTGACGAGACAGATGTAGAGGAAGAGGAGCAACAGACAGAGGATAACGATGAAGAAAAAGACAGGAAATTGGAGGACGATATAAAGAAAATACTTAAAAGAGAAACAGAGGAATCATCAGAAAATACTATTTCAGACTTGAGCAAGACGTCCCAGGAAAGGTACTCCTATTCACCTGTTTTTGCTGTTGCTGAATCTTAATTCTTTCATTCAGAAGGAAGTAAACAAGAAACACTAAGGCAAAAAAATAAAATGAAATTTGACAACATTCTTTGTTTTTCTTTCCAAAGCTCTGAAGACAATGGAGATGGAGCCACAGCAGGCAAACGTCGCGTCACAGAAGAGGACCTGGTTAAAGAGGATCTGAAGAAGAGCCGAGTAGAAAACAGCTCAGTGGAAAATGTTGACAGCCACGCAGTGGAGGGCTCAAAGTCTGAGGAAGCAAAGGCAGAAGCTAAAGAAGGTGGAGAGTCTACAGTACAGGATTTTATCCTTGGTGAGACTTTAGGGACTTACATAAAAGGATGCAACGAGAACAAGTAAAATCTCTGATAAAAAAAGAAGAAAAAAAGCACACATTCCAGATAATATTATTTCTATTTCGATATGATTTCATTTCATAAGATTATATCAGATCAAAAAGGCCTTGACAAAACTCTGTGCAGACATTTTCAGTTTATTCAGAATGCATGGTGTCAAGGGGGCAAGCACAAATAACCACCACATGTTAAATAAGAGGTATTTTAATAAAACATTTTTGAAAACTCACACTAGACTACCACATATTCCCAACTTGTATTAGGCTCACATGAATGGCTATAAAGCACACAGCTGATTGTGATTGTAATGTGAAACAGTTTTGCTATACATTGAATCAAATGAAGTTTCTTTGTTTGCTTTGGTTCAGTTTTTTATGCCTAAATGTTACCTAAGACACAATAGAAAATGTCAACTTGGAAGACATTTGTCTGACTTCCCTGCCTGTGGTTTCTGTTCCACAAAGATACACCTTGTCATTTTAGTTTGCGACATTTCACCTGTCATTCCAGAGGTTTTGAATCAGATTTCATGCCATGGTGCAGTGCCTGCTTGAGCCTCCAGAAGATATCAGTCATGCAGCTTATAGGGCAGATAATGAGTCACATGCATGCTGCTATTTTCATCCATGTTTCTAGGCACTGAGGCCTCTTCCTCTGTCTCTACTCTATCTTTGGCATTCATTACAAAATTACTTCCATATCCATTATTCATCTTGTGTTTCTTTTTTTGTCCCCTTTGTTTTTTTTCCCCAGATGCAGGCCCTCCTCCAACCGCTCCTTTTGATCACCGCATCGTGACTCCCAAACCCCATCAGATAGCAACCTATTACACTATAAACAGGGATGAAGTTCTGGGCGGGTGAGTGACAAGCACAAAACCGCCAGCACTCATTAACGAAGAATAATTATTTTGTTATTTTCACTCTTCCCAGGAATTTAGATGCTTTAATCTACTGTAATAAAATAATAGAGGGCTTAACAGCATGTGGAGAGATGCCTAACAGTTTTTATGAAGACATATGTGCAGCCCTCTGAAGGGCAAGTGCCCCCCAAGGGGGCACATGCAAAATGGCACACCTATCCAGTGTAATGAACTGGTGATGAATCTGATCTCTTAAAGTGAAGATGACTTCTCTGCAAAACAAGGCATGTCTACAATTTCTGGCTTATTTATTCAGACATAAACCCAGTTTTAAAGCAACATATGCAATTTATGTGTATGAATTAGAGATAACATTTAAATTTAAAATGTTTTATTTTGTGTTTTAAAACCTCAAAAACAGTCCAGCAATCAATGTACTTTTTAGAACTTTGGAAAGAAACATTTGGGATGACATTACACGCATATTATACTTCAGTCAAATTGTCCAGACTGTCAGCCTTCCACTTTTAATCACAACTATTCTGTGTCCTTCTATTAGTGTGTTTGACTCAGCTTGTTTCCTTTTATTAGGGGACGTTTTGGACAAGTCTACAAGTGCATGGAGAATTCCTCTGGACTGACACTCGCTGCCAAAATCATCAAAGCAAAGAGCCAGAAAGAGAAGGTGCAGAAATGAACAGCCTGTTAATCTTGAATATAGTACAGAAATACAATCATTGTGTGTGATTATATGTAGTGTCTTTAATAGTGAGTAAGTCTTGGAGTTGTTTTTCATGGAGTACAAACTAATAAAATACAGAATATTTGTAGAAATGCTTCCCCGTATTTCAAATATTTAACTTTTCATCATCTAAAAGTAAAGTCACGATGGCTGTGTGGCCGTGCTTGCTGCTCAGATTAAATGTCTGGTCAGTATGAAATTTGATCATTTTATTTTCCAAATATGGATAAAATTAAAAAGAAAATAGAATGTAAAAAAAATATTTTCCAAAAATCACAGCATATTAAATCTGAGTATCTGAGTTTGAAAAGCTACGACTTTTTGTAATCCAAATTTGTAACAGATAGCTGAGTGACAGCTATTCAAAGAAGGTGTGAAAATTTCTGCGCTACCTGTTTATCTGCCTACCTGTGAACAGATATAATATGATTCAGTGTAACAAACTCACACAACTCGTTCTTTCAAGAGGAGGATGAAAAACAACTGTTTACTTTGTAGTAAGCATAATTTAATTAGACAATGACTGTAAACTGTTGGAGAGTTCCCAGATTACATCAAGTTAATGAAATTGGTACAAACTATTTGTAGATGCAGCTACTAGATGTTTGGCGTTTGTCAAAGCAAAGTGGATATCTGTTCGGTTCATTATCAGATTAAAGTTGCTAAAAGTTAAAAAAATAAAATGAAATGTCTTGAGGTTTTTCTCTCTAATTAGCATAAGGTTTTTTGGATTTATAATATCCAATGTCATAAAAGTGCTTTTAATTTTCCACAATTGTGATTCCAAAATGGATATTCCCTTGTGTTAGTGAAATAATTTTTAAATGCTGATTTTAATCCCTTAAGTTAGCTCTATTTTGCTATACATACTTTGAATTCAATATTTCCTGTTTTTCTTAAGCCAAACATAATTAAAAGAATACATCTGAAAATGTGGATTTGTTTTGTTTTTCTTCTGTTTCAATGCCATATGGATATGTTCTCCTGTAAGGCTATTTAAATTGAGCAGCACTGTCAAGTTTAATATCTTGACAGTTTAATAAAGATATTGTGCACCAAATTGCTCAAGCCTTTAACCAATTCATGAAAAAAGGGCTTTAATAATAAGAGATATTTATACTTAATAACGTTAACCGAACCAGATAGCCAACATTCTTGAACATATTTCTATAATGTGTTTGTAAATATGGCAGCATAAGAACAGAATGAGATTACCTTCTGAAGCTACCAGTAAACTGCTATGAATATAACTTTTACTCTAATGACAGAAAGATGACTGGTTTTTGAATGTTTGTCTCTCAGGAGGTGGTGAGGAACGAGATCCAGGTGATGAACCAGCTGAACCATGCCAACCTGATTCAACTGTACGCTGCTTTTGAGTCGCGGAATGACATCATCCTGGTTATGGAATAGTAAGTCTGTTGTGGGCCGTCTTTTTGAGCACCTTTAATGGAACAGCGTGTCCAGCTCTCCATGGCTGTAACTGTCTTTGTTTCTCCATGCTGCAGTGTGGAAGGAGGAGAGCTGTTTGATCGCATCATCGATGAGAACTACAACCTAACCGAGCTCGACACTGTGTTGTTCATCCGTCAGATCTGTGAAGGGCTGCAGTATATGCACAAAAATTATATCCTGCATCTTGATCTCAAAGTAAACTTGCTTAGGATTCTATATTCCAGTAACAGACTAATCTATTGCTTGCTTTTTATGCTGTGAAAATTGTTCTTTCCAGCCAGAAAACATTCTTTGCGTCAGCAGAGATTCAAACAAAATCAAAATTATTGACTTTGGCCTGGCCAGGAGGTAAGAAATAGAAAGCTGTCTATCTGGTGTGAGTTTTATTAAATATTTGCTGAGCTTAAATATTTGTTTCTAAAAGGTATAAACCCAGGGAGAAGCTAAGAGTAAATTTTGGAACTCCTGAATTTCTCGCTCCTGAAGTCATCAATTATGAGTTTGTTTCATTCCCAACGGACATGTGGAGCCTTGGAGTAATCACATACATGCTGTAAGTCAGAAATGCTCAGTCATCTGCACTTATAACTTGCTACATCACAGACTGACCTCCAGGAAAAAAAAAATATTCCAGGCAGAAAATTGAGGAAATTGCAGCAAGATACCATGTCCCAAACCTCTGTGTCCTGTTTGTCCAGACTCAGTGGCTTGTCTCCGTTTCTGGGGGATGACGACAATGAGACTCTCAACAACATTCTGGCTTGTCAGTGGAACTTCGAGGAGGAGGAATTTGGAGACATTTCTGAAGAGGCCAAAGATTTTATCACCCGTCTGTTGGTGAAAAGCAAGAGTTGGAGGATGAGCGCGACAGAGTCCCTCAGACATGGCTGGCTGTCTGACCAAAATTTGCACTATCGACTACATCAGAAGGTAAAAAATCTCCCTCTGTTGACAGGCTATATTCGATCAGTTCTTTTGTATGTACGTGATCATTTTTAGATTAGCTATGGAGGTGGAAATTTATCTTGGTAACGAATAGCGTCCAAGAAACTGGTATATAGCACAGTTCCATTTTTTGGGTGTTTCGAAACACGTTGAGCACTGAGGTGACCATTCTAGAGCACAGTCTTCAGCTGAACAACTTGTATCATATATCTAACCTGGTGGAAGATGGTATTACAGTGCTGCATGGGATCATGCTTGTTTTTATTATTTTGTATACATCTTCAGTATAGTTATAGAAAAATGTGTAAAGAATTCAGCATGTGAACGCATACTTTGAAACAGAATTCAACTGAAATTTCAATGATTGCACTGTGGACTCTCTGTTTGCAGAAAAACAAGTGCCACTCCTTACATGCTCCACCCCCAGAGAGCTAAACAGGTGAGATTACTTCCCCTGACGCCATTTGGATATTTTATATAAAATGCAAATTAAAGTTTATGAATTCTTTCTTACCCTGCTTTTTTTTTTTGTTTCGCTTTCAGAAACAACCAGGCCCTTGGTTTGCCTTGTCACACTATATGGCCCTGGGGCCCATCACTGGACCAATACTGCTGTACCTGAAAAGCTACTGGATTATTACTCTCTGCCTCACATCTTTACCTTTGCGTAGCTGCACACTGTTTAGGTCTGAACTTTTAAAGCTGCGCGTACTGTATACTTGCAAAGTCATTCAAAGACCTTTGCCTGAAGTTTGCCAGAGGATTTTTTCTTACTAAATGCTGTTACTGTCAAAGCAAAATCCTGCAAGATGTATCACTTTGATACCTACCATGAAAACCTATGAAAACTGTTCTTTTAGCACATTTTAACAGGTACATTACTTTTCTTTTTTTGCAAGCGTTGGCGTGCTTTGCACACTTTTCTCCCTTGTTCATCCAAGACTTACCAAACAAATTTGAAAAAGTAATTCTCTTTTTATAAAGCCATGCTTTTCTTTCTTTTATTTTATAAGTAGTATAATAATGTTATTTCTCTTCAAGACAATTTGAAATCTAACTACATTAATTTATATTGTGTATATATTATGGTATTGCATAAAAGTCTCTTTAACACATGAGAAAATCTTAGCTCTAATGCCCACAGTTTTTCACTATAGACTGCCTTGACCTCAGTGTGCATTTATCCCACCTGCTTGTTTGGCTTAGGCAGTTTGGAGTACCCAGCTCACCTTCCATGAAGGCAAAATGAAATACATGTTACTACCTAAGACATACTGTTTATGACTGAAGTGAAATCTTATGTTCATTTATTTACTGGTTCAGCACCAGATTGTACTTGAAGTGCAAATTTTTTCTTCAATATGTGATCTTTTTATTTCAGAGGACACAAACGTGGTTTCACATAGTCATGCACATACATTTAAAGTATAATGTACAGCGTGGTGGAGAAGTAAGACGCAGAGTTGTTAGATGATTTATTTTGAATTAAAAAGCTTTGTGTTTTGAATATGTGTTTATTTGAATTTATGAGACCTTTTTCAAGACTTCTTGTGAAATGTTGAGATTTAAATACAGTAAATGTGGGAAATAAATGATACACTCAAAAAAATATTTTTGCAGAAATGTATTTTCTTAATCTTTTGAAAAAAAAAATCAAGACTTAGATGTTAATATTGATCATCAAATGCCATTGGATCGTGAGCAATTGTGACTTCCTTCATAAAAGCAGGAATGCATAGTCTGTAACATTCAGATGTTCATAACAACTCAAAAGAGGAAAACATATTGCCAATAAATATAGATGTATTGAAGCACAGGTGTCAAACTCGAGGTCCACGGGAAAACGCTGGCCTGCCATAGCAGTTTCTGTGTATAGTGCAACATAAACAGAACTTTAAGATAACAGTTATGTGCTTAAATATATTTTTATCCGTCAAATCAAACCAGTTTTCATTTGTATAGGACCAAATTATATATATATATATATATATATATATATATATATATATATATATATATATATATATATATATATATATATATATATATATATATATATATATATATAATATATATATATATATATATATATATATATGACCCAAAGTGAAAGTTTTACACCCTTGTAATAGGTTATTTTTCCCTATTTTGGAAAGTCCTAACGAGTAGGACTTATATATATAGATATATCCCTCTATACTGGCACTATTTTTACAGAAGACTTGAAAAAATAAATCTGACTTTAAGCTTACATAAAGACAATAAAGTGACAAATCTCAGATTAAAGTCAAAATAGTTATTATGTTTTCAGTGGCCCTATTGATCTTCCATACACATCCTACAAATATGACTGATTTGTTATATTGTCACTCCCCTGGACCCAGCAATGACAGCAGTATGGATGTAGTGAATCCTCCCTGCCATTCGGGGCGCTTTCCGGACAAAGGCCTCTTATACGTCCCCCTTTCTTGGTGGCTTCTGATTGGTTTGCGTCATAGGTTTACGGATGCTGAGGAGGCTTGCAGGTCCTCCGGCTGCTGCCAACAAGAAATCGCTTTCGTTTGATTCCAAACATTATACTTTTTGAGCAGCGAACCGTCAAGACTTGACAAAGAGATGGCTCAGTGCTCCAACGCTGCAAAGGCGGGCTCCTCGGCAAACGGAAAGGATGTAAAGAAGAGAAATGTGGCTATCATAACCGGCATCACCGGTCAGGTAACATCCTGCTGCTGCAGCCGGAGGCTCTCAGGCACCGAGTTGTCTATGAAAGATAGGTTAAAGTGAATTTGCAAGGGAGTCTCTGTATGCTTATGTTGCCATTCTCTCTGGAAAATCGTATTTCAGTGGTTGTGTTCTAGTTGAGGCTCTCTGAGTAAAGTACTACAACGTTAAGCGTTTTATTGACAGTGTAAGTGTAACTAGTTTTTGATTAACATCACTTGGCGTGTCACTTCCAGAAAGGTTGTGACGGAACAAGGAACAATGCACACTACTGGTCACAGAACAGTCCGGATGGGATGGGATCAGGTTTACTGTGGGAGGGAAGTGTGGTCGAAAGCAAACTCAAAATATATTCCAAAAGCAATACTTACGGCACGTGTTTATGTGGAAATTACAATTTTTCCTAAACCCCAAAAGGAAAACTAAAGTTCACTTTAGAAGGTGCTTTTTCTGTCTTCATTGACATACTTGAAAATACAGACTCTGTGTTAAAAAGGGACTTAATTCTTGTCAGTCTTGTTGCAAACATTGAGATATGAATCAGGATGCTGGATCTGCTTGCTCATCTCATGTGGAAGAGTAATGAATAGTTGTGCAGGGATGGCTCGTTTTATATTTGACGTAGATCCTGCAGTACATTAATGTCTTTCATTTGATTTTAAATTCTTGAACACATTTATGGTTGGTTGATATGAACAAACAGCATGTTCAAGAAGCAAATAAAGTCTGTTTCCTCAAGTTATTCACTGTGTTTAGAAGCAAGAACACTCCAGCCTGATATTGTGTTGTTCAGATTGCAGTCAAATAAAAGACCTGACCCATTGAGGCATGAAGTCCACCAGACCCCTGAAGATGTGATGCTGAATTAGGCTCCAAGTGTTTGCTATTTTTAAAGTTCTGTAGGTTGTGTGGTGGGCATCTGCTGAAGTTGGTCACCTTAAAACAAATTGTGTGTGTTCTTTTTTGCAAGAACCAGTAATTTTAGTAGCTTCCCTGATAGGTTTGGAAAACATGCAGCATTTGGCCAATAACATCACCTTAATTATTTTCTATGACTAAAAAGTAAGTGACCACTGCCCATTTGGAGAAGTTTTTACAATACACAAATTATATTAAATTGTCTTGTGACTTAACTGTTAGAAGCAATTCAGAATAACCTCTCAATTTATCATGTAAAAAGGAAATAATGAAAAAGAAAGAAGCAAAATTTCTGCTTTTTTCAGTCAAATAGGAATCTAGTGTCCAAAGTGCAGGTTGTGGGCCATTTATTTTCTTCTAAATGATTTCATGTGGCCCCTGATAACAATTTCTCTTTTGTTAATTCAGTTTCCAAATGCACTTGTAAATAAAATCACAAACATCTTGCAAATTTTACTCAAAATAACAATTGCTGAGTACAGTAAGGAGTTTAAAAGAAAGAGAGACTCATGTCCCACTCCCTAAAACTTTCTTCTCGCCCTATAAGAAAACAATCAAATCAGAAAACTCGCAATTTGCAATTCTCTTCAATAATAATTGACTTGTTTGAGCCACTTTTTATGTTTTGGATTCTCAACTTTGTTTATTTTTCATAAAATGGTGCACCATTTGTTTAATATTGGGCAGATCAAAATAAAAAGGCAAACTATGACATGTTTTTATATGAGTTCTTGTGATGATTTTAAACCTCATGGCAAAATGTTTACAAAGTCTTATTTCAAGGGGTATTTGTGTTAGTCTTTTGTTTGGGGCATTGGAAGCAGATCAGTGTCAGATCACTGTTCGAGGTGTGGCCATTTCACCAAGCTTTCCCACCATGAAAAACAATACTTTTTCATTCATGAGTTTTATTCATCCACTGATACATTCATTCATGTATACATGGATATATTCATGACATTCTCAATACTATTGAATGTGTCCATTCTAGCAGGATTTTGTTTCAATTTACGTGGTGTGATACTGAACGTATCAATTCTTGTCTTTTCCTTGAAGCTAATGTATGATGATTATCTATGTTTTGTGCTACTGGATGGTCCTATTTCAGACAGCCCTTTAATTGGGGCTGGACAACATGTTTAGGGCTCTTTTCACACAATCCAAGTGAACATCCACACTCAGTATTGTACAATGGAATTGCTTATGGTTTAAAGCAAATATTTATGTTGAATATTCTTAAAGAAAATAGTCATGGCAAAATATATGTAATTAAGACTAATGATTACATCTCAGTTTTAAATGAATTATGTCATCAGTCACGGATGACATAAAAATTATTGTCCTATTTTTTTTTCTTTTTAGAAGAAGTCAATACAACAACTAAGTGCAAAATTAAATTTTTATTTATGATGGATTAGTTTTATTTTATTTACCCATATTTGCAATGTAAAGTTCAGGTAAGTCCATAAAAACGCTTGGCATACTAACTGCAACAGGTGGATTTAAAAGAAGCAATTGTTAAAATAGGTTTATTAAGAGGTTTAACCACTTGGGGGCAGCAGATTCAAATGTTCCTTCACAGAACTACTTTTTAATCATCTTTAGTTCAAGCTGCTTCCGTAGATTTGTAATGGTCTGTATATTTAAAAACATTCAAATATTATTATTTTGAATTTATACAAGCTGTGTTTTGAAACTTTTTTTTTTTGTTCAGAGAAAAGTCTGACATAAATAATGTTTGTAAATAGGGGAGACAGATTGACAATACTTGATTAAGGTGCTGCAGTTTGCAACCCATTCATATCTACAGATGTGTATTATGTTACCTTTGTGACTTTTGTTCTTGACGTTTTTTAAACCTGGAGGCTGAAGTTTTGTCAATGTGGTTTCACTTGGTAAATAAAGAACTTATTTTCACAATAAGCCTTACTCTGACATGAGACCAGACTTCATTCTATAAATATCCAGATCAAAACTATGTCATTTGAACCACTGGTCCTGTTTGTGTACATTTAAATTTCTTTATTTGAACTCAGTTCCTTTTATGTTGAATCTATTTGCAGGAAAAGTCATTTCAACATGCATTACAAACTAAACAGATCCAATTCATGTCCTACTTTTGACAGACTGGGTCAGTCAACCATATAGTAACTACCAGTAGAGAGGAACTTTTTTTTTTATTCAGAAACAATGCTGCAGAAGAAACACAAATGGACAATCATGTTGTTTTTATATATTTGCATTGTGATGAGATATATTTGAAGATAAAAGTGCTCAGTTCATGCAACCTGTCAGTAGTCTTGGGCAAGACCTGCTTAATCTCATTTCATCCTGTCATAACTTCACAGCGAAAGGAGAGGAGTTTAACGTAAAAGGAAACTTTAACTCTTGGTTCTAATCTGAAGTCTTGCTGCAGAATCACGAAATGGCTGGGTGTGCTTTTAGTTCAAACTGTGAGTAAATTTGTGTTTTTCACATTTTTCACATACCAGAAATTAATGTTAGAATAACCTTATTGATCCAAGTTTAATGTCCACTTAACTTGATTTACTTAAAATTAAATGTCTTATAAACATTAACCAAAACTGATTTATTTAAATAAGGTTTTTGATCAGTCTGATTTCAAACTAAATTTTCTACATTAATTTTGTGGTCAAAAAAGTGAAAAATTCTAATCTATTGCTACAAAGAAAACCCGAAGGCGAATTCAGTTTCATTGATGTTGAGGTCAGTTTTTAGAGGAGTTTTAGTGCCAGTCTCTGAGAAATTAGTTTTCGGAACAAGCAGTCGTATCACAGCGTTAAACTGAGGAATGTTGAGCATCTTTTGAGGTTATTCTTTAGCATGTTTTTACAAATAAGGGAATAC